TTTCAGCCCGTCCCTAACGCGCTACAAAACGGCCCACGCCTGAAAAGGTACATGTACTACTTTGGGCCGTTTTTGTTGCGCGTTTCCATTGGGATACAGCCAAGTAGCCCTCGCGAATCGCGGTAAAAAAAACGCGCGACAGACGCGCATATGCAATACGCCTAGGTGTGAACCAGGCCTTAAAGTGACACTAAAGTCAGGAGTGTGGCCTGGATGGGAAGGGGGTTTAACACCGCGGATGTCAACTGGTTAAAAATGCATTCAAGTACCCTATAAACAAAATTGTCGCTTATTTTTGTATCACTCGGCTGTAGATCCTCAAATCATCTCTGAGTTGGTGCTGACACTGTCCTTCCTTCTGGGGGGTGGCTACTTTTCTTCCCCATGGTCCCTGTGTGTGTTGTAAAGTAGTCACAGCTCAAAGCTCGCTCCTGTGATGGATTACAATCTCAATACAACTTAGTAAACTAAACATGAGATACACAAATAAGATATATTTTAATTAATAAGTACGGTACTTAAATGCATTTTTAAAGTTTAACTCCTGCGTTTAGTGTCACTTTAAATCAGCAAAAAGATAGCACAAACATGCAGACACTATAACACCCAAAGAAAGGCATACTATTATACATTACATTTAAATGTATTGTTTCAGGACATACAATGCATTCTTTTTTCATATTCGTTAAATGGAGAAGTAAACTTTAGATTGAAAGCTCACCAGAAATTAAAAAAGATATACATACTTTTTTTCCAGTGGTCTGCTGATGTCACACGTTCTTTCTTCTCCCCTCCAGCCACAGCGTTGGTGGTTTTTTTCTGTTGCAATGAGTGGCACTCATGTAATGATGTGTTATTGGCGTTCAGTGCAGTAATACTCTGAGCCCAGAATGTGGGATGAGGCCATCCTAGGGGGCAGGTCAATGACAGCCTGGGGTCAGTGAAGGTGGGTTAATTGAAGCTGCCTGTCATTTGACCTGGAAAACTGAGGACATCTAGTGGTGAGAAGAAATTATTGTGGGGCCAGCTCTGGACTGAAGGTGAATAATGCATCAAAATATGTTTTTTTTTAGTTTTTTTCTTTAAAAAAACCTGAACTTTCATTTTAAGTAATGTAGCTCTGTTTGCTTAATATGACAAGGGAATTCTTCCAAGTGCCAAAAGCTAAATTCACACAGAGGAGGTCTTTAAAGATATTTCTATATAAACCTCAACTATGATGCTCACCCACAGCCAAACAATAACCCCTTTCATAGCCAAATCCTCCTTCTTTAGGTTGATCATAACTTGACCATTAAGAGAAATAATTATCTGCAACATTCTTTGTCTTATGTACATTTAATGCTATATTTGTGGAAGTAATGCCAGCTGCTGTATTTTGTGCACAGTTAAGCCAAGAGCTCCATTGAATGTCCGAGTTGACTTCCATGAAGAGAAAAATGGTGTAGTGCAATGGGACACTGGTTATATGTCATTCCTCATCACGGACAACCTGTCCTTTCATGTTCAGATCATCTGTAAGCATAGCAGAGAAGTGGTAAGATGTAGTATTTGTTGTATACTATAGAAAATTGTGCACTTGGGGACTAAAGACATGCATGCATCATACACTCCGGGGCAGGGGTGCCCATTAGGCCAATCACAATCTACCAGTCGAAGCGAACACTGGTAGATCGCGATCGGCTCACTGACCTGAGCTCCCTCCCGCAGTGCTAGTGCGGCTAAATGTGTGTCCGCTACACGAGCACCGTGGAAGGACAGGACAGCGCACATGAGAGGGGACCTGGGAAGCTGCTTCAGTGCAGGTAAGGAAAGACAGCCAGGAGAGAGAGGAGAGACAGCAGAGAGAGAGAGAAGAGACAGCAGAGAGAGAGAAGAGACAGCAGAGAGAGAGAAGAGACAGCAGAGAGAGAAGAGACAGCAGAAAGACAGCGAGGAGAGAGGGCGCGAGGAAAGAGAGAGAAGAGACAGCCAAGAGAGAGGGCCGGTTCACACCACAAAGTCTGCTTTCCAGAGTGTTCGGCCTTTGGAACGCAAGCTGGCCGGCTCCCTGCGTTCAGGGGTAGGAGGGGGCGTGGCGGTGTATTGAAGTCAATGACACAGCAAGCCACGCCCCCGCCCGCAGTGCAAGCGCCCGCACATTAGTGCCTGCGTTCCGGTCCAGTGCGATCTGCAAAAATAGTGCTTGCAGCATTTTTGCAGATTGCACTGGACCGGAACTCAGGCACTAATTAGGCCTGCGCTCCAGGTGCGTGCGATCGCACTGTGGTTTGCACGCAGGAAGCCGGCCGGCTTGCGTTCCAGAGGTTGAACGCTCTGGAACGCAAACTTTGTGTGTGAGATAGAGAGAGAGAGAGAGAGAGATCCCAGTAACGATTTAAATGTGCTTGTTTTTTTAAATAGAGATGTTTTTTCATTGGTAGATCTCATTGAGCTCGTCATTTAAAAAGTAGATCTTCAGACGAAAAATTCCAAATAATGAAATTGGTGCAACGTTATTCATTTTCCTTTTTTTTGTATTCTTTATTTAAGGAAAAAGGGCAGGGTAAGGAAACAAAAACATACAGGCCCCCACTGGCCACATTTAGTACAATATGAACAGACGTACAGAACGCACAGCAGATAAACCAACATAACAGGTAGAATAAAAGTGCAACCAATCCAATCTCCCAGCAGGCCTGTCAATACGATCTCACCCAAACCCTCAAAGCGTTTTGTAATTTGAAATCAGAAGAAAAAACACATAAACATAACAAACCACAGTATGCTACCTACAAAACCAAGTGAACACTTAAAACCACCTAAGATACAAAAGAGAGCAAAGAAAGAAAAAAAGCGTGCTACTTGACAAAATAAAGATGAGATAAAGAGTAAAGAAAGAAACACTCCAGAACAATCAGATCCCCATCCTCGGAAAGCCCCAGACCCTCAGGACTGGGAATCATTGGAACGGCCCATGTGCGGGTCAGGGGAATTCGAACACAGTCTTACGCCTCACATACTTGAGAACAATATTCATTTTCATTGCATAAGGCTTCCCTAGCACCCTGGGCATCTGGAGGAAGAGGTTTAACCCTGGGCACACGGAAAATCTTCTTCACAGTAAGAGCTATAAAAATATAGAATAGGCGATCTCAGGAAGTAGTTCTAGCTAGCTTATTTATTTGTTTTAAAAAGCTGGATGCTTTCCTAAATGTGCAAACTATAACCAGCTAGTTACTTTTATAAATGATAACACCACAGGTTGTTGATCCAGGCAATATACTGGAGTGCTATTGGTAACCTCCTGGCACATAATTAAAGGAAATATGCCTTCTCTGTTACACAATGGTGACATTCCGAATGTCCCAGACCCACCTTCTTGATAAGAAATGTCCTAGGTGCATTCGTCTCAGGGTGAAGTTCTTGCCATTAGGTATTGTGAATAATGGGCACCAGTCACATTGAATAGATTTTATGATATTTTAATAGCACGTGCATGAAGAAGAATAGGTAAGGAGGATGAGGGAGCACAGGATACCTGAAGGTTTACATCAAACACAGTCCTTCTAACTTTCTGAGTCCCTCTCTCATAGGGCTTTTGTGTCTGGATCCTTAAACATTATAGGTAGCTACTTGTCGAACTGATGTTCCTTTGTATGCCCAGACTTAGAGATCAAGGCAGGACAGCAATGGGAAGGTTCCTGTGGTGCTTCCCAGCTCAGTCAGTCACTCACTATCCCTGTGGGGGACACTGCAGCTTTGCTTCCTCAAGGCCTGGTAGCACTCCATAGCAGCCAGTATCTTAGGGACACCTCCCAGGAAGGGAGATCCCCACAACTTTCCAAATCCCTAGACCCTAAGGCCTAAGTCCAAGACATATGGTCACATTTGCATCCTCACAGGGGAGAAGCCCAGGAGGGAAGACCATGTGCCAGGAAATGCCTCAGATATTTAATAACTCTCCCAGCATGCACAGCTGGCTCCCCAGGCCTAATGATTGGCCCGAGGCATGTTCAGTTGCTCAGCCACTGCGAGTGCTGAGTTAGCAAACTGCCACTAAACACTGTGCTGCAAGTCAGCGCTCAGCACTGCTAACTTAGCACTCGCAGCGCAAGTGAATGTGGATGCATGGATTTGGTGCCATTCACTTCAATGGCCCGCCACACCCCCTCCTGCCCCACAAAAAGGTGAGCCGGCCGCAATGCGAGGCTGTGCGTTCTGGCCAGAATCGGGCCAGAATGCACTGCATCCGGTGGGAAGGGCCCCTTCATGTTTTGGTGGACGAGCACTCCAAATATTCGTTGGAAAATTGTACTTATTAGCCAAAAATATTATCCTCCGCCATTTTGCTTAGCACTGTGCAGCAAAAGTGTTCAGTGAAGCTGCTGCAGTGAACTGAAGTGCTGCAGAACAGCTACTCGGCGCTTGGCTAAGGAACTGAACGCGTCTCAGGTATTAAACATCCCTCATATGAAGTGTTATCTCTAGCACACCCTGCTGGAAGACACTCAACACAGCAGGTGACTGAGAATAACCATTCCACACTTAGAGAACACAAGCCAGCACATAGTTTAGCTGACTAATCTTATGCTGAAAGATCAAAAACATAGGAGGAAAATTTGAAAAAATACTACATCCCTACAATGCAATTGCCTTAGGCGATCAGGAAGGAATTTTATCCGCTATTGCAGCAAATTAAACCATGCTTTAAAAGGGTTGTGTTTTCTTTTTTTGCTGTCTTCTAGATCAACTGTGGGTAACTGTAGACATAGGGTTCTGTTTATGGAGGGTTTATTCATTTGTTTGTTCTCTATTGGTTAAACCTAATGGACTTGTGTCTTTTTTCAAACTGATTATGTAACTTAGTAGTGGACAAATAGCCAAGGGGGGAAAAAATGAAGGGTTAGCTGGTTTCTGTTCTTAGTATTTCTGTTTACACTTTGTGACTAATAAAATCTGTTTTCCTAGGCACTACAGGAAATTTTCACACAAACAACACGTGAATATTATTTCAATAAGAAACAGCTGAAACGAGGAGAACGTTATGTAGTGAGGGTTAGAGCAAGACCGGTAAAAGAACTCCATGGAGCCTGGAGTGAATGGAGCTCGGAAGCTGAGTGGAGAAATGGTAACATTCTATGAGTTCTTCATATTTTTAGAGTAACAGAGCCATGAAAGTAGTGAGGTTTACTTTACTACTCATTATGTGGTCATTATGTGGTGAATTAGATGGCAGATGATTGTGCAGCAATCAATATGTGTAGTGTTAGAAATTATCTATCCTACTATGTTAAAAAGAGTACTAAGGAATTTTAAAGATATCCTTATGAAATAGTGACTTCAATAAGCATTACACCTTAGACCAAAAGGACATGGCATAAAGAACTAGCATCAGTGCCGATACCAAGCATTTGGACGAGTGCTCGTACTCGGCCAAATGCTCTGATACCTTCCCCGATACTGGAACTTCCGGTCAGAGGGAGATTTCCTCTGACTGGCAGTGCCGCAAGGGAACATGGAGCCGGCTTCCTTATTGGCCGGAAAGTTGGCTCGATGCTGATTGGTCGGGATCCCGGCTTCTCAGCCAATCAGCATAGAGCCAGCCAAACAGCTTGCAGACAACTTCCCGGCCAATCAGGAAGCCGGGTGGCGTGCTGCCCGGCTTCCTGATTGCCCGGGAAGCCGGCTCCATGCTAGAGGAAGTACCAGTGTCAGCACTAGGTATCGGTGAGTACCGAACTATAAATATCGGTACCCGTACTCGATACCCAAAGAAACGATATCGGTGCATTCTTAGCAGAAAGACAGGAGACAAGCAAATTACAAGTCAACATTTTTCTCAACACAGGTTTTCCTTTAAAGCCTATCTATAGACAGAAAAAAAACTGCAAGGGTTAAGTGCTTTATTAATGTCTAGGGGGATTATCTAAAGCACTTTTACTAACTAGATCCCTGCTCCTCCAAGACCGGTGCCCCAGCCTCTTCTCCCCTCCTCTCCCTCAATCAGAGGTCCACTGGCATCATCATGTCTAATGCATGGTCCACAGCCCTGCATTAGACATGAGGATGACGAGGGACAATCCACCAAGTAGAGTGGAGCGGAAAGAAGAGAGCACCGACCACTAAGGGAGATGGAATCAAGTCAGTAAAACTGCTTTAAAGAATTCCCCTAGACATTAGCAGATAACCTTTAATATTTGAAGGAAAAACTGTGCTTGGCTCACTCTAAATTGTCACTAAATGATCATAATTTTCTTGTGCACAGATTATAGTCTTACCATACTGGATCAGATGGATATCATTATCCCAATTACCTGCATTGTGATGTTATGCCTGCTTATAGGATGTTATGCCTGCTTTACCAGGTAATTATAATCATTTTATATCTAATACATAAAGCATAAAATATATTTTTAATGAAACATCTCCCCCCCCCCCGCACTGCAAGGGTTAAATGCTTTTTTGTTTAGGAGGATTGGAATAAGGTGAAATTCTTACCTTATTCCTCGCTCCCGTAGTCATCATCCTCTTTATAAAATAACTCTCCCAAAGCCGCAGCCCTTCGCTGGCCAACTGGTCGCAGCTTTGTGAGATCATTGTACACAATGCAGGATCAGTGGAGGTCCCAGAAGAATCCCTGACTGCCGAAGGGAGCAAGGGATATGGTAAGTAATTCACCCTGTTGATTATCCCCTAAAGCAGTGGACCCTTGCAGTGCGGAGGGAAGCCCACTGTAGGGATAACTTTGACTCCACTTCAGAGTTCAGCATTGAAGCACATTTGAAACTTCTATTTTTATCATTTTAATGCAGTTGCTGCATAAACTGTAATACATTTAGATTTATTTTTTTAAATTAAACTGTGCTGTTGTGCTATAGCACAGGTTAAAGTACCTTCTGCATGCAGCACCATGGATAGCTAGACTGCTTATCAACACAGAGTGCAGCAGTCCGGGTTTCCATTGACCCTAAACACTCCACCTACACAGTCAGGGCCAGTGCTAGGATTCTTGCCTACACGGGCAAGGTGCATTTTTACTACCCTGCAGCGCCATCAGGCGGCCGCCTGACTTGCCTTGCGCTAGCGCCGGGCCTGTACACAGTGCAGGGTTTCCCTGCAAATCCATACTAAACCCTTATTCTAGAATAGGATCTGTAATGAATTTTGAGTGGGGGAGGGGCGCATGCTTGCTGCCCCCCTCCTTCCTTCCTGGTCAGCCAGGCTGCATGCCTGAACAGGGTTTGGTATGGATTTTTAAGGGTAGCCTAGGCCATCTTTTTTGTTTTTTTTTGCATGAGGTCCCCCTAAAAATTCATACCATAATCCAGGCACGCAGCCTGGCTGGCCAGGAAAGGGGGTAGCGAGCATGCACCCCCAATTCTGCAGAACCAGACCATTCCACATGCCCTTAACATTTAGAACCTTTAGTACCTTGCCATGTTGATGGGGACCAGGACCTCATCCCTACACGTTTTCTTCCTCTCAGCTGTTACAGCTCTTTAATAATCCCTAGATAGTAGCTGTGTAAACTGTAAAAATGTAATTGACCTTCAGACTGTGCAGGCTGCCCAGATACAATGACAGTATCCCTCCTGTTGCCATTTTTTGATAAGCTGTGCTGTCAGAAACGTTGCTTAGAGAAAGCTATACATTGAAATTCAGGTCTCATGTAAAAGAGCATTATAGAAACAGCCAAGAAGCAATTAACAACTCTGTAGGAGATGCAGAGGTCAGCAGCTGAGATGGGAAAACTGTGACTTGAGCCATTTACAGTATGTACCATTCAGAAGATGTTCCTTCACTTTCTGTTATACAGACACAATAGGAAGTAAGAGGAAATCTCTTCAAAGTGAAATCCCTTCATAGACAGTGAAGATAGTGGGGAGGGAGCTTATAATCCATTCCACCCCCAAAGTGAATGTCCCACGATGTGAATCCAACATCAATCACATTGTCCACCTATGTAGATTCAATGTAAATTACAATGAACAATGCAGTAAATGTTCTGGCTGCAGCACCTGGAGGTTTGGCCGGGTGGGCAAACTGGCCAAATCTGCCCATTTAGTTAGCCCATTTGGCAAACTGCGAACAAGATTGGTTTGTGTCAAACTCATGATTGACCCGGAACGCATACTCATATTCAGCAGCAAGGGCAGAGAGAGAAATACATATTTGTCTTCTTCTTTACAGGTACTGTATGTCTGTTATTTACTTTCAAGTGAGCTTGTTACTTTCATTGCATGGGCAATGTGCAGGTTCACTTTCATTTGGCTATTTAAATGTCAAGGTTGACTGTTGCAAATATACAAATATCTAAAATCACAAAAGGCTTATAATATAATCCTATACATAATATGATCTAAAATCACAAAAGGCTTAGAATATAATATTATAAGCCTTTTGTGATTTTAGATCATATTATGTATAGGAAGTGGATATAGGTGTGTAATCTACGGGTATACTCAGTGACCCCTCTTGTATTTATTTATTTATTTATGTGTATTTATTTTTACAATAAAATGAATTTTTAACAGTGAAATGTGCAATATATGTGTTCCATGCCTAGAATGACACCTGAAAAGCCCTACTTTTCTCCTTTTTTTTTTGCTTTCATTTTACTTATATAATATAAAAGTAGACAAATGGTATAAGGCTATGTAAACATGATGAGATATACAAAACACTGACATATTTATACCAAGAATATCAGACTTTAACAATTTTATGATGCATTTTGTTAATCACAAAATACATGTCTTTAGATTGACAATGCCTACATAATAGGACTATAATTTGAAATGTACTTGTTTATATTCAGATGCAAGAAGACATGGTGGGATACTATTCCAAGCCCAGCAAAAAGCACCTTTGTCAAGAAAAAACTGATACAGGTGAGTTAAATAAGATTGATTGTTAAAGGGTCAATGAAACACATCACTCTATAATTTCTATTAAAGAAGAACTAGAGAACACAAACTGCAATCAACCAAAAACAATCAGCAATCAGTAAGCCCGGTTTTATTTTTGGGTGATTGCATCTGATTTTGTCTAACCATATATACAAACTCCATCTTTGAACTGTGCCTGTAAAGGAAACTGCAGACATTAGAAAACAATTTCCCTTTATGATCAGATCAGAGAATATTCACATGTCTGCTGGCCTTTCCCACAAGCAAAACACATGGCAAATGCACTCATCAATGCATAACTAACTTAAAGCAAGGTTCACATGAAAGAGCTTTTGTACAGTACAATAGCAAAAATGTCCCAGCACACTCACCAGCCAGCCTGCAGAAAATACCCTGTCTAACTAATATGGTTAAAAACAGAGGGTTTAGTTGGCCAACTTTTGTAAAATACGTGGAAGCAGCACTGCCTCGTCAAGGCCCCTCTGTGTAGTGGGGTCTTAACTCTAATCTATGAGATCCTCCATCTTGGAGCATATATAGTGAAGGGTGAATTGGGTGCATCCAATTCATCCTTCACCCTAGGCTGGTCATCTAGGGCCAGCCTAGGGGACAGCAACAGATGACTCACTACTCTGAGCCAATTGGTATTTTTTTTCACCTGAGATAAGAAACCAGCAGAGCCAGACAAAGCAAATCATTCTCTCAGTAAGAAACCTGCCAATCTAAAAGTCATGCTTATAAAAATCAGCCAATAATGGTAAACGCCTGGCAGATTGCAGCTCTGTATTTATTAATAAATGGTAACATGTATTTATTAAATGCAACTAGTGTAAATACATAATATCTTCACTTGATATGAGCCTCTCGCAATTCCATACAGCAACAAAGTTAGGCTGCATTCACACATAGCATTTGCGGTTCCCGCACGGTTTTTCGCCCGGTAGACCGCGTGTGACGAAAAGGCTAATGTTGTTCAATCTGAGCGGGTGCTGCTCGTTTGCGGCTATTAAATACCCGCTAACGTGCAGAATCCGCCGGATTATCGCGCTTGCACTATTTCAGGGCCCGCGCAGTTTCGTGCCGCGCGGTACCTGCAATGGTCTGAACGATGCACATTGACGTGCATTGTTTTTTGTGTTTAGAGCGGCTCCGCGCGTATCCGTACAGTCGAATACGCTCGTACAGCCGCTCAGGTGTGAATGGAGCTTTAGACAAGAAGAGGGAGGTTCATGACTGGGGGTTAATCAATCCCCCCAGAGCAGATTGAGCAAAGCGATGACCACGTCAGGCTCATTCTACTTTTTCGCTGTCCACTTAACAGGCTGGGGGGTGGAGTGATTACATTACTCTGTTCCTTTTACACTCAATAACTGTAATAATGAAAGTGGTAACATCTGCTTGGCAGTGGCAGACTAAAGAGCTCCCGTATGTATACTTTCTCTGGGTATTTAGCTGTTTGTCTGGCATTTCACTAAGAAAACTGGAAATCTCCTTTCAGATCCTCACTGTTCCACATAAACTGGAAAATATAAGCCTGAAACCATGTTTTGTATTCTCTGTACTGGTAATATGATAGGCAGTAAAAACGTATATGTATATATTTTAATTTCTTCAATTTTCCTGCTAAATAATGCATTCATTTTACTATTTAGAAACACAGATCATTTCCAGAAGGAAAATGTGACGCAAAACAATCTTGGTATGTGAATTTTTCCTATTTTTTGACAGCCTTTCAAAATTGTTTTCATTATCTGGTAGATTAACAGGCTTCTTTCTCTTCTCAGTGGAAGTTTTTTCAGCAGAATCGTCAAAGCCCAGAAGTCCAAATGTGACCAGCTTACACAGAACGACACTGCCAGACAATATGTCATTGGCATTGTAAGTTCAGATTGTAAAAAATTTATTTTTGAACCCAAGAATGAAGATATTGAAAGATGTGTTGAAATGTATCCCAAAACGGAAGATGAAAACAATCCAGTTCTAGAAGACGAACCAGAACATAAGGCTGAAGATCACTCACTTGAAGATCTATCTATTGCCAATATGTTTTCTGCTATTCTTCATGATTCATCAAACACAAAGGTAGATACATTTGAAAACTTAAATGCAGGATTGTTTGGATGTCCTGGCTTAATGGATAGTTTTGATAAAGAGGAGAAACAAATGTTCAATTTAAATGTCTCAGGAAATCAGAAGTTGGGATACCACAATTATGACTCTGATGATTCTCCACTGGACTCTTCATCCAGTATAAATATGGTCAAGATGCTATGCTTTGATCAATGTCCAGATAATGAAATAGACTGTATACCATACACCGCACAAGACAGTATGAAGGGGAACTCCTCATACGAGATTAAGGGGGACCATTTAGCAAGTCCAGGCTACAACAGTTTTGCCAATGCTTTATCTGAAGCAAAACAGGATTTCATTATGAATATAACAAAAACTTTTTGCCTAGACAATATCTCACAAAGCACAGTTCTTGGAAAAACTAATATCTATGAAAGGCATTTGAGTCCAAAAGGTATTCTTTATTACAACACAAAACATTTATGTTTACACAGTAAGGATAATTTTCAACCAAACATAGAACCAAAATCTGGACAAATCATATTGCAATGCCACGAAGGCAAAAATGATCCAGCTTTTATATGTCAAGTGTCGGCATATCAAAGCTTTGATCAAGCAGTCCAAGAAAATGAACCAGAGCTTGGGTGCCACATGTCCGGATATAAATGTTTTGACCAAGCAGTTCAAAAAGGGGATGAGACTTCTGTGAGTGAAGTGAATGGATATCAAAGCTTTGATCGAGCAGTTCAAGAAAATAATCTAGAGTTTGGGTGCAACATATCCGGATATAAAAGTTTTGACAAAGCAGTTCAGGAAGGTGTTGACACTTCTGTATGTGAAGTCAATGGATATCAAAGCTTTGATGAAGCAATTCAAGAAAGTGAAACCTCAGGATCGTCAAGCTGTTTGATTCTTGACTCCGGATACAAACCTTTTGAAAGTCTTATTTGCCAAAACAATGATTATTCAGATAAGAATGGTTGTATGTGTGAAAATGATCATTGTGAAAATAATACAAACTTCAACAACAGTCAAGAATATAAACTTATCTCTTCGGGCTCAATGGAACTTAGTGATTCTGTAAAAGCAACAATGGAAAAATATCCATCTTTTTCAGATAAACCCTTTAAGGCTTTAAAGATAGCAGTGGGTACTAACCTTACCAATGACATGGCTTTAAACCATGAAGGAATACCGTTAGCGTTGACTTTTGACATAGGTGAGCACATGAGAAACCTGGAAAACAAGCATGGGCATAAGGTACCACTTGACAACTTAGAAATTGGGACGATCCCCATAAATTATGCAATATATCCATGCCATCTGGATAAGGTTTCATTCACTCAAGAAGAACTCACAAGCGGCAAGAATCTTATTCTCCATAAATGTCCTTCAACAACATATCCTCCAGAGAATATGTCTTTTTTTAAGCCTCTGTGTGACTTAGACGCCTTAGATCCAAGTGAGACAACCAAACATTTATTAATACAACAAAGCAGTTTGGATAAAGATGGCAACTCATACATGAAGATAAAATAGATCAACAATAACGAAGCCCAGTGTTGGAAGGCAAAATTGCAACCCCAAGGCCGTTCCATAAGGAAGTTTGCCACTGCCTGGATTTCATAATAGAGTTTATATGGATTATTGTGCAAGTGAAATCTGGTATGACAGAGCATTCGGTGCTTCTATGAATACTCTTTCATCATTGTGGATAGATTTTGTCTTCCTTTTGAAACAAGGAGGGTAGGCTCATAATCAGTGGTCAGTAAACACCTTTAATATCTTCTTATGACATTTGACGGGAATCTGATGCTGGTCATTTTGGCAAGGGACTCCCAGTCCCTTGCCAGTGTGTATAGTGTAGCTGGCCAGCTATAGTAACAGTTACAATGTATCTTCTACACTAAAGCACCTCCTTACACTTTACCTTTACTTACTGAAACACTTAACTGTTCACCATACCCTAAAGAAATCCCATAAAGAAGAAGTAATAAAAATAAAAAACTGCCGGTAGGTTGTGATTTTTAGCAGAAGAGACAATAAAAGTCTCTTCTGCCGGAAAAATTCTTCCTCTGTCCTCCAGTAATTTTTTATTTGCTGTGCACACTGTACGGTACATTTGCCGTACAGTGTACACACTCAGCCCATTCACAGCATCTCTAAGATGACATGAATGGGCCTGATGCAAGAGAAGCTATACCTACTGTGCACATGCACAGGAGTTACATCATCAGTGGCAAGCCAATGGCTGGAGAGAACTTCCAGGAACCCGGGAGTGTATTTGGTGGAGATGGCGGTGGTAGAGGACAGAGGTAAGAACCAAAGTTCAATCCAACAGTGCTGGAGAAGGTTGCACTTGTAAGGTAAGTGTGCCCTAATGTGCAAGTATGCTATGCATAGGGTAAAAACCCATCCTTAACATAACAGTACACTACCACTTTAACTGCTAAATAAAACTTTTAACATGTAACCTCCCCCAACCCCCAACACCTTACCTAATCACTAAAACAAGTCCTTAACAATTACTTCCCCAGCCCTTTGTGTAATCCCTTAAAATGATATTAAAGTCAAAAGGGATTTGAAGCTATTTCAAATGCTGATGAAATCACTTACAATGGATGCTGCTCCTTGATGTTTAAAAGTTTGTTTCCTGCAAAATCAACTGGTCCTCTGAGCACTGTTTTTGACTTCCTGTTTTAGAGTGACTCCTTTCTTAAGCAGAGTTCTGTGCAATCACCCTTGTGTGTGTTAGTAAGCTGAGTGTGTCTCCGCAAACACAGAAAATCAAGCTACTCCCCTCTCCCATGGCCCCCTCTCCTCCCTTCTCCAAGCTAGTAGATGAACAGTTTCTGCAGTCTGCACTGTCCTTTGTAACCTTAATAATTGGGATGCACCGATATATCGGCCGCCGAAACACATCGGCCGAAAATGGCATTTTGGCAAAATGCTGAAAGTGCCACTTTCTGGCTGATATAGTGGTGCATCCGTTCTTTCTATCCTCCCCGCTGGGTGCTGCTCTGTGTCCCAGCGGGGAGGAGGCTGAGCTCCGCTCGCTCAGCCTCCTGTGACAGCGTGTCAGGATGGAGAGCAGTACAAACACTCATAAATCAGTGATCACTGAGTGTTTGTAAATAATTGAGGACATAGTATGTTTACTATATCTTCAATTATGAATGAATGGGAAGTGATCTACATCACCACCTGTTCATTCATAGTTGTAGTTATAGTAAGCATACCATGTCCTCATGTTATGAATGAATAGGAACACTCAGTATAGAGGATTCCTATTCATTTTGTGTCCTCAATCTCTATTTCTATTTTAAAGGGAAATATCAGGGGTCTGTTTAGACCCCCAATATTTCCCCGAAGCCCCTAAAGGTAAAGTAAAAAATA